CCCCGATCCTGGGCCCCCAGCAGCACCTTTTTGTCCTTTTTTTGCCCCAAAAGGGCTCTCCCCTGCCTCCAGCCCCGCTCGCCCTCGCCGGGGCGGGGGTCCCCCCTCTCCTTCCCCCCAGAACCCCGCTGGCCGCTCCGGCGGGGTCCAGAGCCCCGCTTTTCTCCTCAATCTCCTTTTTTACCCTTTCTTCGCAATTTTAACCCATTCGCACCAGCGATGGCGATGAACCGAGGGTTCCGGTGGCTCCCCCCAGCTCCTGGCGTCGCCTCCCTCCCGCGCCAAAGCCCAGCGCGCCCAGAACCCCGCTGGCCGCTCCGGCGGGGTCCAGAGCCCCGCTTTTCTCCTCAATCTCCTTTTTTACCCTTTCTTCGCAATTTTAACCCATTCGCACCAGCGATGGCGATGAACCGAGGGTTCCGGTGGCTCCCCCCAGCTCCTGGCGTCGCCTCCCTCCCGCGCCAAAGCCCAGCGCGCTTTTGGGTGGAAAAGCGGTGAAAACCGTGAAGTCCGGCTCTTGTTTTTTTAAAGGACAGCGAATATCAAAATTCAGGGATTGTTTTGCAAGCAGTTGGCGCGTATGGAAATGGAAAGCGGGAAAAAAAAATGGCAACTTTGGTTTTCAACAAATTATTTACCCCACGCGAAGGAAAATAAACAAAGGTTTGAGTTTCCGCTGATAAAATTATCTTTTTTTCCTTCTTTTTTTTTTTTTTTTGAAACAAGAGATGACGTACAACGGTCCGTGTGTCCTGCTGGACATACAATTGTCCATGTGTCCAGTGGTATGTACAGCTCTCCATGTGTCCAGCTGCAGAGGCGACCATCCGTGTGTCCAGCTGGACGTCCAACTGTCCCTCTGTCTCTCTGTACATACAACTGTCTGTGTGTCTGGATGGCTGCAACACCGCCTGTACATCCAGGTGTACCTGCAACCGGCCCTGTGTCCATCGGTCTGTCTGGTTGTGCTGCGAGTCCAGCTGGACGTGCACTCGTCTGTGCGTCCAGCTGGATGTGCAGCCATCCGTCTGTCCGTCCATCCCTCCTGCCTCCATCCCACCCCCTGGGTCCTGGGGGGGCCCCAAGGCCCAATCCGGACCCCAGGACCTCCCCCCCGTGGGGGGTCCCCA